AGGGGGGTTCAAGCCAGGGGAAGGACACCCTGCCCGCAGCAGGAGCTGGCGATGGCGAGCCGGCCATCCCTGACTGTAGGAGCAGAGCTCAGGGCAGTGTGGTGTGGTGACCTGAGTCCGACCATGAGCCAGCCCAACCTGGAGCATGGCACCCACATCGGGCCTCTCACAGCCTGCCAGCACACTGCTTCACCCCATCCCTCACTCTATATCTTTTTTTAAACCCTCAAGCTATTTCAGAGATGAAGCAAGTCCTTAAAAACCACCAGGAAGGACAAGGCGGCCACTGCTTTTCACTGGAGGTGCACATCCTCCAGCCAGCTGCTGCCCATTCAGCTGAAGGAGGAAAACACGCTGCAATTATTACAGTTTCTCGGGTCAAACCCACACTTTTGCAGTCCAGATATGCAGAAATTTATACACAAGTAATTTCAAACAGCTTGTAACTGAGCTCAGCAGAAGTCCTTAGGTGCCTGGCATCACTCGTGTATAGACATCCTGCAGAGAAAAGCAGGGTGCTTCCAGGAATCCCACCAGCCGAGGCCAGTGCATGAGACAGTACCATCTTACAGACAGAGAAAATTAACTGAAGTTCCAAGTTACATCACATTAAACTCTGAAAGAATGGATTTTCCTATGAAAGTCCATTGAAATTCATCACCTCTAGAAAAATAAGGCCCTAACAGCTTTGAAGCAGTTATTCTGTATAAACATAATAAAACTATTAAAGATAACCTATGAATGCTGAGAACCTAAGTTTTGTTTTTTTCATGCATCTCCCTATAGCACTTACGTTTCCACTATACTTTAAAAACAAATACAAATTCATAAACTCAAAGCGTATTAATCAAAATGTGAAGAAACTGATAAAGTCAGGGACTTGCCAAATGAATGCGGTATCAGACTTGATCTTTGTCCAAGGCCTGTCCAGTTTAGCTCAAGTGGTAGGTTATAATGGGCATTGATTACAGACTCTTGATTATACCGAGCCACTAAAGAGCAAGCAAAAGCTTGTTGCTAGAGGATTATAGCAGACATTCCGGCCATTAACAGTGAATTTCCATACGACTATTAATCTCTGTCACAACATTGAGGTTATGTTAATTTTTTATTTGTCTTTCAAGGAATTATGAACATGGTCCATTACATTTCCCAAAGCTGCAGGAACAACTTGTCTTTAGGAGAGAGCTATAGTTCATGGCTGACTCAAGACACCCGTGCTATTAAAAGAAAAATTAATGTTCAGACTCTGACAAACAGCCAAAGCATGGCCCTGCGGAGAGGTAAAGCTCAAACTGGAAGCAATAGGTACATTCTGGATGGCACCTTCTTGCTCATAAAAGGTCTTCTGGGTATCCAGATGAGTCAGGATTGCTGAATGCTACCTACACGTTAGGTGAAAATGCAGTGGCATACAGATAAGGGAGTCAACAAACTGGCACAGCCACTCCCCAGTCAAAGACCCAAGTAAAGCTAACAGGAGAAAATGTGAGGGGAAAAATAGAGGGCCCCTTCTTTCTCCTGCCCCTAGTAATCATAGTACTGGTTTGTAGTGCAGATCACAGCCACCGCGGCAGCACAGATGGGAGGTTGTTTAGGACTTGCAGGTCTTGCAGGACTTGCTATTCCTCCCATCGCTCTCTCACACAGGCCAGGAGGAAAAGTGCCCCCAGGTTACCATGTATCCCTGTTACTAGAAGGTATATCCATTTCTGCAATGACAGAGTGCCTATCCAGTAGCTGGAAGAAGATCTAAAGCAAGTATTTCATGGCTGCTAGTGAGTGATGGCGTCACCGTTGGACAAAATGTTCCTTGTGGGAAAAAACCCTTGAATATCACAAACTACCTCTGTTGTGACAGTCCAATGTCAGTGCTTGAATCACACTATATACTTGAAAATAGCACAGGGACAGCCTGGTACATTATATTCATTAATAATAATTAAAAATAGAAAACCTTTCTAGAATTTACTTCTGCTTCTAGCATTGCATGACTAGGACTTAGGTCTAGAATATTTAATTAGAAAACTGGAGTTTAACAGAAATTTGGTCACTATAATCACCAGTTCCATGAGTTTGGAATCACTGTGAATAACACTGTGTGAGAAAACTATGAAGAGAAGCTGTCATCCACACTAGAAGTTTGCCATTTCTCCTTTTCCTTCACTATAATAAGCATATCTAAAGTCTATTTTCTGTTCTGCTAAACTAAAAATTGAAAAAAATTGTGCGAATTGCATCACTGTTTAAGCCTAACCCAGAAGTCAAACCGTTATATTATCAATACATCCCAACTGCTACAACATGCTGTGGATACATACCTGTCCCATCATGGTCTCCTTATACTGTTTTTTCTGTGTTACTTTGATTGGAGGCAATTTTGTCACGGCTGACACCAAAAAATTCATTAGAATGTCTTCACAATTGGCCAGTTGGTCCACCATACTCTTTAGGCTGGCAGGCAGGTAATGAGTGTACAGGTAGTGATAATATCTGGAATCCAACAGCAGCATTATTAATACAAGACAATGGTCTTTCAGGGATTACCAACTCCAGGAAATTTCTATCTCAGTTGAGACACAAGTTTTGTACTGAACTCTGGATATACCACTTCCTTTCTTCGGTCTCATCCTCCAACAAGAAGGGAGAACAAATCAGTATCTCATCAAGACAGTAAATAGTGCTAATGGAGAAACAAGACATATGCCTTTTCTATAACTGGGTTGAAAGAAATAATGCAGACCTAAGTATCAAGATAATGGAGAAGCACGAAAGAGAGCACCACATTACTATAATGTGATAGAGAACACTGATGAATTCATTTTCCACCTCTTCTTTCAAAACTGTTCAGTTGGAGAGCTCTATTAAACTGGCCTACTACTGTCCTTATTGTTGAAATTATTCTCCTTTGGGCCTATGTCATCCCCTGTGGGCTGTCCTCTCTCTTGTGGGGATGTGGATTAGGCACTCCAGAATTTGTCGACTTTCTCCTCACATCTAGAGGGGCCTTTGGTCTGCTGAAGTCCTAACAACAGGGCCTTCTCCAACATGCTGCAATACGCTGATCTGCGATGTGTCCACTGTACTACATTTCTAGAGTAGCCAGAAGAGTTTGCAGTCTGCAGCTGTCAGCTAACACATACCCAGAGCTGGTCTGGAAGTAACCTCCTTTCTGCTGTGCTACAGGCCATTCAGCCAAGCAGCTTAATGAATTCGGGAACTCTTTGAAGTGTGTAATTCCTGATGTTAAAAAGAGCAGTCCGACTGCCTCAAAATACAAGTGACTTCAAAGAGACCCAACAAGCGCAATAATGATTACCAGATCCCCAGAGCTAAACCAAGAACTTAAATTATTACCCCATAAAAAGTAGACCCATTTATTATCTTTCCAGTTTTTCCCCTCCCCGGAAGAATGTTCTTCACCCCCCCATACCTCCCCTTACTATTTTGTTTCGGACAGAAGGAGGACAGCAGATGCTTTGGGTTCTTACTTGTGGTAAATAGCAGCTCCTGTCAATACCATGGAATAGTCATTAGTCCATTTGGAGGTATACCCCCACCTCTCCTTAGTGTTGTCCCAGAAGTGACTGCGAGCAGGGTATCCTACAATCCTCTCTGGAAAACTCTGCCAAACTGTAAAGGCAAAATCCACCTGCGGACAAAGGCACAGGCCAAATGAACACCAAAATTGTTTCAACAAATGTCAACAAAACAAAATATTACCTTGCCACTAATTCATAATTCAGAATCTTGGAACTGTTGCAAAACATTAATTCTATGTATTCATCAGTAAATTAAACTGACTGCTTGACATTTTGCCCTATAATTATGCACATTTTAATGGTTCCTGTTAAAGGGAGTCTAAAGCATCACAGCATTACATTAACATTTTCAAGCTTGCCCTTTACATATCAAACCTTTTCAAGTTACAGAAAGAATGGGTGTAGGTGCATGTATTTATACTTAGATGCAATATAGAGTGGTAATAGCTATGTGGTAAACTGAACCTTTTGCTCAGCTTTCTGCATCTCTCCTACCATTTCAGTACTGTCAACACAAAGCTTGGAAAATCAGGAGTCAAACACCTTAAATTATAAGGGTGGCTCACTGAGATGAAAACGGGCAATCAATGCACAGTCCTTTTATATCTTCCACCCATTTTGAGCCTTTAAGGTACATCCAGGTCATACTTTTAAGACTGTCTACATGACCAACAGGGTTTAACATATAGCTTAATAAAGAGGAAGATAAGATTCCCATGTAGTTAAATGGCTTTAGGAGCCTATACTTTTAAGAAAAATGCTTGATACTGTATGAGCCACAAGAAGATGTCAAATACTGCCAACAGTGGGTTTTTATTTTATTGTTCTGCTTTAACTATTTTAATAACTCAAATCTCTGAGAATTGACAAGGTGACAGGACATTGCTACCCCAGGATCCCACCAAAAAAATCCTGGTGACACTAGGAAAGGGATGACTGGGGTAGTTTGCAGAAGGCTCATCAAATCATAGATTTGAAAGGAATTTGGTAAAAATACATATTGAAAGATTCTTGTCACTATAAAGTTGGTTGGGAGTCCCTTTATTTCAACTTAGGTTTTGGAGCTCGAGCTAGACCAAAATTTAAAAAGAGTTAAAGACAATGCTAATTGTTCCAGTCAAACACAAGAAAACGAGGGATGTGTTTCTGCACTGCACACCAAGTTTCCTCCAGTACCAGAGGGACCCAAAACTTTGCTAAAAAGTCTTCGAAAAACCTTCCAAGAACCCAGCCAAAGTCAAGAGTGTAGAGGTTAGATAAAGAGTAGATGATCTGAGAACAGTCACATTTTGTGCGATTATTGTCAGACTTCTCTCATTTACAAGTGTTTTTATGAAACAGAAGAGTCGCACATGTACTGGAACACAAAGTTAGGGACTGGTTATTTTCTTTCAAGTTGTTTCAAGGAATCTGAGGCCAACTAAAAAGACAATGTGCACAAACCAGTTACCGTTGTGATAGTTCTGATCTCATCCAAATCAATACCACATGAAAGAACTAAAGTTTTTTTTTTTCCCTGTAAAAGCCTTTCCCATAAAACGTGACATCTGTTTTCTTTAGAGAAGTCTGAGAATCTCAAACTTAAATAAATAATAAAGCAGCTGCACTCGGTGCCCTCACTTGTGCTTTCAAGTATCTGTACTTGTACCAGTGAGACACACTAAAGCAACCACCCTAAGAGAAAACTCCCTTTATTAAAAAACCCAAGTCCTCATCCTACATAATTTTTAACAGCAACATCACTCAGCTGATCAAAAAAACTGATCGGCAGGAAAAGCCAAGCAGGCTGCCAGTCTCTTGAACCCCCGGATCACTTCTGACCCGTGCTTATTTTTAATTACTTCCCACACAAACATCCCTCTGCGCATGTGGCACAGCTCCTCTCACAAGAGCAATTATGCGCCGTTCTGCCATGAAGAGAAAACCTTTACTACGCTAGAGCCTGACAGAGCAGAGGATGTGCCTGGTGACTGCTCCTCCCAACAGGAACATGATCATGTCTGACCACGTTTCTAAATTGCCTTCTCCGGGCCCTGAAGCTTTGCCACAACGACCACCCATGAGCAGCCAGTTTTAAGGGAAGTTTTACACCACGCGTTTCATGTCAGTGTTTCAACGTGCTGTTTCTTTGCGTAAGCCATACGAGGGGGGAACTGAAGCAATAGAAAGCTCCCAGTTCTTCACAGAAAGCCACCAAAGAGAGCTGCTGACCCTGGCACAGGCATGCTGAAGCTGCAAGGCGGGTGCTACGGAGAGCTGGCCAAATGGTTCGCTCCACAGCACAGGGGCCATGGGGCTCGTAGAACCAATACCCACCATGCAAACATGCAATATCCACTGCAAGCTGCTCACAGGAGGGAAGAAGCCACAAAGAAATGTGTATGTTGTCTCACACGACAACAAATATTTGCATTTCAGAATGTTCAGGGTAAAACATGGCTCAGCCGAATGAGAAACAGTATTTATTTCATATGTGTTCCAGAAGCCTAAATGACTCCAAAGTTTGGATGATGACTAAATACCAGTCAAAACAAAACAAAACCCCAAATCCTCATGGAATCCACAGGCTGGATTGTTGTAAATACCACCACAGTGCAATGAAGTCCCTGACAGGTCTTACCGCAGCCCCTGGGCAGCTGAGACAGGACCCTTCATCCTGAGCCAACAACCTGCTTAGGAACTTCAGCTCTAGGATAAATGCCAAATTATTGGTTTTGGTTTGGGTTCTTTTTTTGGCTGTGCAGGTGTTTTAACACAGGTGCTTTGGCAGCAGCTGTATTCTTTCTCATCTAGCAGAAACTACCAAGGTGTAATCTTGGTATCAAGCGGGTTCAATGCCAACTACTTCTTCCATCTGTGCAGTAGATGAGGGCTACTGTGGCTCTTTGTAAGGAGGAGCCTTAAGACTTCTTAAGTCTAAGCACAGCACAACAAATCCATACTGGGGAGAAGAGCAGTTGCAATCTCATCCATTTAGAACAACGTCGGTGACATTGTAGGGTATATAGTAGTGATGGGTGACTAATGTTAGGCATTTCTCCACTGACATATAACCAGTAGCAGCATCAGTAAAAGATCCCCATCACTGATATGAAAGCATTTTTATGAAGGTGAAGTGGGGAGAAGGGAATGGCTGTGAACATGGGGAAAAAAAAGGGAAAACAAAAGAAAATCGAGTTTTTCAAGCTATTCCCTGGCCATCATTAATAATGTATTTCCCAAATATTGCACTCTATATAAACTGTCATCAGTTTCCCCTGTGGTTCTCAGGAAGAGGTTCCAGAAATCAATACTCATCCCAGTTGTAAAAATTGGTTTTCTACGGTATTTTTCTTTTCTTAGCGCTATCTTGCTCTTAGCACAAACACTCTAACACCTAAACTAGCAAAGATCTCCAATTTTATAGGGCGACACAATGGTGAGAGCATTCCTCAGTGAAATCCCGCATTAGGGTGTCAATGCTGTCTTTTGGAGCGACAACAGTCCCCTGCTGCTGACACCCCTTCCTTCCCCACCTACACCCTACTGATAACGTGGGGGGAAAAAAGCTACCCCAATCAGAAAAGTGAGAAGAGAGTATTAAAGCCGACTGCTCTTGGCTGCCTACACCCGCCTGCAGCTATGTTACTAAAATAATAAAGAACCTAAGAACCATATGCTAATGATGAGCCAATTAACCAGGGCGAAAAGCTCCTCTGATGGCAGGCAGTGGCAGCGTTGCTGAAACAAGTGCAACGTGCTAAATCTGAGGAGTGGAGCAGGAAATCTTATAACATTTGCTCACTGGCAAAGCCAAGAAAAGAGCCTATCTGCTGTGCTCAGGATGAGCCAAGGAGCCAAGCGCTCTCCCAAGATGACGGAGACCCTTACCTCAGTGGTTGAAAGCACGGTGTCCTCATCCAGGCTTAGAACTGCATCTGTCACTATGTTGTCGTAGGGTAGGAAGCGACTGCTCATAACCTGTAGGTGTCCAAGACAGGAAGGGGAGGAAAAAAAATCACTTGAAGGACTCATTTCCAAGGGAAATACTCCATTTTATTCCTCATTCTTATTTCCTCTTGTCTGAGACATCTTATCTCTGTCTGATGGAAAGGACCCTTCAGCTCAAGAGTGAAAGACTCATTTTTGTCACCCCAGCAGTCAGCCTACACTTTCTGCCTGAGGAGTAAATTTTGAACAGACCTCTCTCTTTGGAGCATGCTGCTTTCCTTTTGTGACAAAGTGCAATGGTCCATACTGGGAATTAGATGTCCCTATGGCTCCTTTAGGGAGGACATTTTTCCTGGTAGCTAGGACTGTCCCTCTGCCCTCCTACGGGGCGTGGGGATCAAAGATAATGAACACTGAGAAGGACTTGCAGCATTCATAAGGTTATGCAGCTGGGAAGCCAAGTAGTCCAGGCTGTGTGTGAAGGACATTAAGCCACCAGGATGGCCCCCGTGTAAAGTGCATTGCTGCTGTATCTGCAGGGAGCTGCTGACAAATGGTGCAACATTCTCCATTAGTAAAGGAGAATATGCTAAAGAACATGTGTATCTGTTGAGCTTCACCTGCATCAAGAGCTATATTGGTACTGTAGCATTTTAAAAAGTCACATTCTTAAGTGACATAGCTATATATATAAAATCTATATGACTATATACAGAATAAGCTTTTAAAAACTATGGCAGGACAGTTCTCAAAGCAATAGGAAATAGATGGGAAAGCAGGATCAAAAAGATAACAGCAAGAAATGAGAATCCATATGGTTTCTTTAGCAGACTAATTAGCACCTTTTGAGAACTGATGAATAGTAACAAGGACAACACTATTTGTTTCCTTCATTTGCTAGGAAAAATATCCTGGGTAGTTAATAGACTTCTTTTCCAATTTATTATGCCAAGAAAACACTACAAAAATCAGGCCCAGTACAAGGAAATCACTGTATGGAAACAGGGACATGGAGAAGTTTTATACATCTGTCATAATGGCCATGGTCAGTTCTGCATCCCCTGCAACCTGTTTGGAAGCAAGTCCCTAAGTCTATGCCTTGATTCAGGGAAAGCTCTGTCTCTCTAATCAGGAGGTTCATGGTGTCTGTCTGGAGAGGGTCCCTTCATCGCTACAATGGCCTCAGTCCAGGGAGGTGGTGGCTGTGAGGAAGAGGTGATCTGGCAGGGGTTGATGGTTTTGCTTTGCTTATGCAAAGGCAAAGCAGAGCAAGCAGCCAGCAGGAGACCAGCGTTCTCACCCCAGCTCTTTTACAGACCATGTAAAATTGTCAAATAGTAAAACAGTTGGGACTACCCGTGTATTTTGTTTTGTAGTTAAAGCTCCCTTCTGTAAAATGGGTGTGATAATATATCTTGATTTCAGGAGGAAGAGTGAAGGTTAGGTAAAGGCAGACCTCTGTGATCACCTGCACAGCGTAACTGTGCCTGCCAGTATGCTTCAGTTAAGACTGAAGATGAAAAGCAGTTTCTTTGTGCAACCTTTGAATTGCACTGCTCTGGCTCTGCGAGCTTTCTCCAAACAAACATCTTTTCCACGCAAGAAGCCATTTGGCATATGTTGGGATATCAGAGGGAAGAGACCATCCACTATAAACACACCTTTGTGTACTCAGGAGACTCATTTGGAATCTAAACAGTGCCTGGGCCAATTTCTACAAACACCATAGAGTTGGTCAGAGATTTTCTCCTTTATCTCACCTCTGCAAGTTTTCTAAAAAGAAAGGAAAAAACCCCACAACATTCAAAAGACTCAGAAATCACTACAGCCTTTTTTGGCCCTGCAGCAACTCTCCTGATACTGTTTACACAGCTAGCTAAGGCAAGAGCCATTAGCTGCCAACCTCGCAGGGCTCTCGCTTTTCCCTTGTTAAGGTGACTGGGGGAAAGACCAAAGACAGGACTATAAATTCAAAATAGGACCGTACAGCCAAAGCAACTAAAAGTTGCCTTTGCAAACACAGAGCTCAAGAGCCAGCTGAGAGAGACTGCAGAGAGGACCAGCCCAAATCTGTCTCAGTCAGAGTTTAGAAGCAAGAAGCCTTGCTTCTCTCAGGCCTGCATTTGGCAAGGAATCACCAATTTCAGTGTGGATTTTTAAAAAAGCCTATTTTCTCATCTGGGTGGTGTCTGTTTTGCAGAAGTGCAAAGAACAAGTGTGTTGCACAGCATGAGATGACATGGTGGTTTTGTTCCCACACAAATGTCTATTGTCCCTTCCTTTTTTTTTGGTGGTGGGATCCCATCACTGGCAGCAGCACCCTACAAGGCCATGAGAGAAGGTACTTTTCAAAGGCACGTTAACATCATTCTTTCTCATCTTTTCCTCTGCTTTTAAGTCCACAGCTGACCCCCAAGTCTTACATCTGACTGCTCAGACTCAATCCAGCAGCATCACTACCTTCATGCACCTGCAGAGAGCCAGAAATCTCCAAAGACAGGGTCAGCACTACCTACTCTTGGGGCCACATTTCAAAACTGGGTCCCACCTGTGAATCTCAGATTCATGCTATTAATTGGCACGCTGATGATTTCTGAGAGGATGGGGACTCACACATGAAACATGAATCTGTGACCAAGCTGGTACAAAGGGCCAAGAAACAGAAAGGAGCTGTCACACCGTTGGGAACTACAAAGCTTTCACCAAAGCAGATGGAAAAATAAATACTGGTCCCACTGGAGAATATATCCAATCTTTTACAATGTTTCTTTCCACCTACCTTGCTCTCTCCTTCAATGACTATGACAGGCACAGAAGTGGCAGGCCAGCGGTGTTTGGCTGGGAGGGGTTTATCACAATTCCATAAAACAATAATCTGAAAGAGAATATTGGACCATGATCAGAGACCTTAGTGGCAATGCAGTCAAAACCCTAAGGCCTCAGATCTCCAGACAGAAATGTTATAATCAAGTTAGGAATTTCAAAATCAACAGCAATGATGCAAATCTGTATAAAAATAACACTTCCTACAGTAATTTCCCCCTTCCTGACTATTTACAATATACATCCTCTCAGGCAAATGTAGGCCGGACAGGAACTCAGGAAGTCTCTATGTAGGCCAGGTCATATGGATGTCACTGATTTACTTTAGCTATCATTAAAGGCTAAACCACTTGTGACGCTCCACTGCAAGAGGGTGCTCCTACTGAACTCCCCAGGGCTCCTTTCAGAGAAGCCAAAATCCCAACATTGCTGAGACTAAGAGCCACAGCAGGAGGAAGGAAGATAACATAGGGGTTCTTGAGGCAAAGACATCCTTCTGCCGTTTTGTAGCATATGCAATTCTGATCTTTAAAGTGCAGTCATTATTTGACCTGCCTCGTGAAACAAAGGGCTTAATTACTGTCTCTATTCCACTCACACTATACTCAGAATTCTTTGTTTCCCATGCATGCAGGTCACAGACAGTAAAAATCTCAGAGAAAAAAACCAAACATTAGAATTGAAACAGAGGTTTGAAACAGGACTGAGAAGATCTGAAATCAGTAGGGTCTTCTCTCATGGGATAGTGGTGTTGTCTTCAATGTGATTGACAGTCAAACAGCGCTGCTTACCTGTGCACAGTACTGGGACTTGGCTACAGCAACCAGGAGTTTCAGCACAGGCTGAGATTGGGAAACCAGGGGAGTTACTGCGTGGATAACGGCAGTGAATGTGGAAAGAGGCTTCAGACCTGAAGTGAAGAGATGTGTTCAGTAAAAAAAAAAAATTGCCCTGCGTAATACAGACTAAAGGACTCTGGAGATATAAAAAAAATCTGCACTTAATGCAAACCTTGCCATATTTTTTTAGGCCATCTCCTTTCGTCTCAGATACTAGGATACCAGATGCTTCAGAGGAGATCACACTTCCCTTTAACTCCCACACCCTCTGAAATCCCTGACTCCAACACAATTACTGCCTTTCCTTACTACTTCCACAGATGTCCTGCAATCTCTTTCATCCAGTTTGTCCCACAGACAATATTGACATCTAGTTTGTTCCACCAAATGTCTTTCTTGACACAGGTTCTGTTTTGCTGCCTGGCTCTGGATGCTTGATGGTTTCTACAGATAATCTCCACAACTTCCAGAAGCTTGTTCAGTTTCCCCAGTTCCATTACAGCCTCTGTCAGATTTTTGCTCTTTCTGGGTCAACCCCCATCCACATGCCTCTTAAATTACCTCCTGAGCTGATAATTCTGCTCGCATCCTTGTCTTTCATTCTGATATTTTTGTCTCGCTATGATTTCCTTTTCTGCCTAAAATAACAGATCCTACTGGTGTCTACCCTTCATTACTGCTCTCAATCTTATCTAAATTCATCTGTGTGGGGTCATAGTCGTTTTTCATCAAAATTCCCACAGAAACCTTCTTCTCCCTCTCTACCATGGTTAAGTGTGAATTTTTAGCAGGTGAGCAGTACAGAGCCACACAAGTGGGATGGCACAGGCTGAGCCAAAAGTAGCAGGAACCTGGTAAGCAGGATCACTTCAGCCTGCAGGCACGTTCCCCTGCAGAACTCACTGATTAAGCTCTGCTTCAGGAAAAAGCCACGAACCTAAGCCCTGTTCATTCCTTCTAGTTGGATCCATATGAAGACACACAGTATGGAGAATAAATCCATACCAACTACGTACTCCAATAACAAGTGTCATGGGTAAATTACCACTTTTCCAATTTGCCAAGCACAAATAAACAAAGAAAGCAAAAAGCTATTCCTCTTATGTCCCCTCGGGCCATGAATGGGTCAGCAACTCAGGCATTAATTACTGGCAACTGAAAAGTATGAAGGGGCATAGATTTTTTAAAAACAATCTTTGCCAGTAAGAGGCACATGATGCATGTTGATGAGTCAGAGACATTCCAGTCTACAGTGGGCAGGGGAGACAGACAGGATAAACAAAAGGCATCATTAACTAGAAATGAATGCTAACTCACTTGGCACATGCTACTCAAAGATCAAATTCCAAATTTCCACTAGAAATTCCAACTACCGCTAGATTTTAGCAAGGATTCACTCACCGAGATTAGCATAGTAGTAAGGAAAATCTCCCAGATATGAGGAATACTGTGGCAGTACAAATAACCCTCCAGGATGTTTGTTCCATATTAAGCTGTTACGTGATATGTGCTTAAATATTCTGTCCTGAATAATCTGGAAAACAAGAGAGGTGATGATTTTTAAATAGACTGTAATAGTCACTGGTAGAAGCTTCAGAGATCACAGCTGACTGGAATCATCACCCATTTTGCAAAAAGCTGAGGCACACA